AAAATGAAGGCCATAACACTAACAATACTACTAACCAAACATTTTTGAGCTTTATCAGTTTTTCTGTTCTAGAATTCAATCTGAGGCATCTTGTTAAGTTTAGTTATGTCTCCTCAGTCTCCTCTAATCTATGGCAGTTTCTGAGTCTTTCCTTGGTATTCACATCCTTGATACCTCTAAATTGTAGTCAGGCATCTGTGCGATGACATTTAATATGGATTTTCTGATAAAGCTGGAGTTGTGGATTTTTAGGTTCTTGATCCTATCAGGGAGCACATGACAGCATTGTGACTTAGTACTGGTGGGTTGAGTGACCTTAGTCTTGGTTAAGGTGGAGTTTGCCAAGTTTTTCCACTGAAAGCTTACTATTTTCCCCTTTCCATAGTCTGTCCAATAAGAAAAAAGTCCCTAAATGGAACTGAAGAGGAATTAAGCTCCAGGGGAAGTATAAAAAAGCTTGTAGTCATGTGTCAAAAACACCACAATAATGAATAAGTATTTAGGTGTGTGTGTGAGAGGGGATTCTCTGAGGCTCTATGACTATCTTGTTTCTCCTTAAAGTGTTACTAATTTCAGCATTTAGCAGTGGATTAGCCAGCAGCATATTCTATGTTCTCTTAATGGTGGTTTTCTATTTGCTTCATCCTCTCTGCATACATTATTTGGAATTTATCTATAATTCAGATGTATCCTTTCCTTACATCTTAATTAGTCAACCTTGTTCAGTGGATTAATCAATTTTCTTTTATTGCTCAAATTATTCCAGCTTTTGGATTTGGGAGCACTTTCAATTGGCTCCTTTGGACAATCTCCCCAGCATTCCACCCCCCTTTTTAAAACAAGATGCACAAACTCACCCTGCATTTCTCTTTCCAGTCTTAGAACTGGTCACTTCTCCAGTGGGTTCCTATTTCTTTTACTGGAGAATGTTAGAGAGCAGGATCTATATGTGCTTGGTGCTCCTGTGTGCCATTGCCTGAGTCTTCTTGGTGGATACATACACAGTTATTCATTTATTTATTCATAGGGCTAATGAGAGGAACAGACAATTCTCAAAAGATGAAAAGCTGGGCCAGGTGTAGTGGCACACACCTTTAATCCCAGCATTCGGGAGGTAGAGGCAGGTGAATCTCTGTGAGTTCAAGGCCAGCCTGGTCTACATATTGAGTTCCAGGCCAGCTGGAGCTAAAGGGAGACCCTGTGTCTACATAGCAAGTTCCAAGCCAGCAAAAAAAAAAAAAAAAAAAAAAAAAAAAAAAAAAGAAAAAGAAAAAAAAAAGATGAAGTACAAATGACCAATAGACACATTCATCACTATCCATCATAGAAATGCAAATTAAAATTGGGCTGGAGCGATGACTCAGTGGTTAAGAGCACTGACTGCTCTTACAGAGGACCTGGGTTGGATTCCCAGCACCAACATGGCGGCTCACAACTGTCTGTAACTCCAGTTCCAGGGGATCCAATGCCCTCTTCTGACCTCTGGGGGCATTACACGACACAGGTGCACTTCCATACATTCTGGCAATACACTCATACACATAGAATAAAAATAAATAAAATATCTTTAAAAAATTAGAATTAGGGGGCTGGAGAGATGGCTTAAGAACACTGGCTGTTCTTGCAGAAGATCCAGGTTTGAATCCCAACACCCACATGGCAGCTAACAACTGTCCATAACTCTGGTCCCAGGGGCTCTGACAGCCTCTTCTGTCCTCCTTGGGCATTGCATGACATGGGTGCACTTACCTACATGCAGGCAATACATGCACACACATAAAATAAAAATAATAAATAAAAAAAAGAATCATATTGAGATTTTATGTCATTCCAGTCAGCATAGCATTGATGAAGAAAACAAATACCACGTTTTCTGTCATTAGTGGATCCTAGATTTCCTAGATTTTATATAGATACATAAAATCATTTATGTACAGATGATATGAAAGTAGAAACAAATCTAAGGGAACAAAGGGCATGAATGGGAAGGAGGAGGGATGAGGAAGGGGTGGTAGTGTGGAATGGGAGGATATGCTCAGAGTACATCGTGTGAATATGGCTTTATATAACTCAGATTGATAAAAAAACATTTTCAAAAGGAGCCTACCTCTCCTTATTTACAATAGATTAATTTATTTCTATGATCACAGTGTACATTGAAAGTAGTTTCAGAATTGCCAATTCTGTGAGACAATTTGCCAACCTTCTTAAGCCTTTACCTTCTTAAGAGTTTCAAGCCAAAATATTGCTTCCTTCCTCATACTCCCTCCAATGGGGTTGTATATCCAGCTGTATATTCCAGCTGGCCTGGAACTTGCTAATGTAGACCAAACTGGCCTTGAACTCATCTGCCTGCCTCTGCCTCCTGAGTGCTGGGACTAAAGGTGTGTGCAGCCACCCCTGGCTGTGCCTCATATTTGTTATGAAATTAGATTAATTTGTAACATTCTAGGTTCCCCTGAAGTCTGGTTTTTGTTTTCACTTGTTTTTAAGAAAGGGTCTCTGGCGGATGTGGTGGCACACGCCTTTAATCCCAGCACTTGGGAGGCAGCGGTAGGCGGATCTCTGTGAGTTCAAGGCCAGCCTGGTCTACATAGTGAGTTCCAGGACAGCTGGGGCTACAGGGAGACCCTGTTTCAAAAAGACCAAAAAAAGAGAAAGGGTCTCATTCTGTAATCCAGGTTGACTTGAACTCACTATGTAGCCCTGGCCTTGAACTCACAGTGATCCTCCTGCTTCGGCCTCAAAAGTGCTGATTAGTATTAGTAAAATTCACAAATGGCTGGAGAGCTGGCTGAGTGGTTAAGAGCATTGGCTGCTCTTACAGAGGACTTGGGTCTGATTCCCAGCACCCATGTGGCAGCTAATAACTGTCCATAACTCCACTTCCAGAGGATCTGATACCCTCTTTTGACCTCTTCAAGCACTGCACGATGCAGGTGCATCTACCTACATGCAAGGCAATACATTCATACACATAAAGTAAAAAATAACAAATAAGATATTAAAATTCACATAAATAAAAGTCCATCTTCACAGCATTCAGTTCTTTGTGCTTTGACGAACATGCAGTTAGGTATCTTCCAATGCTTAACCATGGAAAACAGCTCCACTACCTTGAAGATTGCCTTGCATGTTTCCTTGTAGTAAACCCTTCTTTTCTCTCCAAATCTGGCATTCTAGTTTGGTCTCTGTTGCTGTGATAAAATACTAACTCAAAACAACTTGGGTACGAAAGGGTTTATTTCATTTTACAGCTCATAGTTCATCATCAAGGGAAGTTGGAGGCAGGAACTGAAACAGAGACAATGGAGGAATCCTATTTGCCAGCTAGCTCCCCTGGCTTGCTTAACTACTTTTCTTTTTTTGTTTTAAAATTCATTTTGGGGGCTGGAGATGGCTCAGTGGTTAAGAGCACTGGCTGCTCTTTCAGAAGACCTAGGTTTGAATCTCAGTACCCACATGACAGCTAACATCCACCTGTAACTCCAGTTCCAGGGATCCGACACTTTCTTCTGTCCTCCTTGGACAGTGGTGCACTCTTTGACATGGGTGCACTTACATACATGTAGGCAATACACTCATACATATAAAATAATAAGTAAATAAAAAATTAAATTCATTTTTATTTTACATGTATGAGTGTTTTGTCTGCATGTATGCTAGTGTACAATGTTTGTACAATGCCTATGGAGGCCAGAAGAGTACATTAGATTCCTTGGAACTGGAGTTACAGACAGTTGTTAGCTGCCATGTGGGTGCTGGGAAGGAAACCCAAGTTCTCTGTAAGAGCAGCCAGTGCTCTTAACTGCTGAGCTGTCTCTTCAGACTCTTAGCTACTTTTCTTATGCAGCCAAGGCCAACCTCTGAGGGATGTCATAGCCCACAGTGGGCTGCGCCCTCCTCCATCAATTAGCAAGCAAGAAAATGCTTCAGAGACATGCCCACAGGTCAGTCTGATGGAGGAAATTCCTCAATTAAGGCTCTGTCTTCCCAGGTGACTCGAGTTTGTGTCAAGTTGACAAAAAATAACCAGTATACTTAGCAACTACTGATCTGTTTTCCATTTCTATAGTTTTGCCTCTCACAGAATACATTATAAATGGAATTGTACAACATGCAGACTTCTGAATCTAGGTTTCTTTCATTTAGCAAAATGAATCAGTACTTTACTTCTTTTTACTGCTGAATATGGATAGATGTTTGAAATGGGTGTCCTTGGTTTGCTTATCCATTCTCTCAAAGCTCATCTGGGTCATTTCTAATATCAGCTAAGTTTCTACAAATAGTCATGTGTGAGATTCTATATGAACATAAGTTCTCTCTTCCTTTATTTTTTTGGGGGGGTGGGGAGCAGGGTCTCATTGTGTAGCCTAGGTTGGCTTGACGCTTTCCATGTAGCCCAGGGCTAATGTTGAACTTTCGATGATCCTCTTGCCTCAGCCTTACTGGTATTTGGATTATAGGTGTGTGACACCTAAGGATGAAATGAATGGATCACATGACAGTTATACCCTTTTCGAATCACATCAGCAATGACAGTTCCAGTTGTTCTACATCTTCACCAACAGTAGACTGTTCATATTTTTCTTAAAATGGAAACTGCCTACCAGACCCCAACTTCTTCATCTTTTTGGCCTGCCTTGTTTACAAAATAAGCTATACCCCTGCTTTGTAGCCTGATGGTGATTACTTTAGACATTCCACACTTACAGTATACACTAAGTACTATATGCTTTGTCCTTTTCTAACAGTAAATAGAGTCCATAGACTTTCTTCAGTTGGTCTAAGAGTTAACACTGTGCTTGAGCAGAATTCCTTTTTGGATTTCCTAAGCCTTTGCTTTTGTGCAGACTGCTTGTTCCCTGCTCCTCTCAGCCTCTTCTTAACATAATCAAGTGAACACAATAGTATTCCACGGCACCCAGGCAACTTCACTAGACCCCACAGTGGCTAAAGACCCAGCAGAATAGACCATTCCACGCAGCTTTTCAGCTGGGTCACTCACTGAGCATTTGTGCATCAGAAGGGCGCCTAGTGTCAAGCCCCTGCTCCCAGTTCCTGCCTCCTGACTCAGTAATGAGCACGTTCTCATAGTCACTAGAGTCTTTTTCTGACAGCTCTTCTTCATGTGCCATCTGATTGTTAATCTGTGTGGATGGCTGAAAGGCCACGTAAAATGCTGTAGATGTGGCCCTCCAGACAGGCTGGATATGGGTTTTTGGACTCTCTGTCGTGCCCTCTCCATGGTCTATATTTGAAAATGTCATTTCTTCCTCAGCTTGAGGCTGGCTTCCATTGGGATCTGCTGATGGGACATTTTCATAATCTCTGCAGCACTGAAAAGCCACCCTAGGCTGAGTCTCTTGCATGTCCTGAAGATCCAAACCTGTCATGTTGATGTAGTCATTTGAGGTCTGAGATGAATCTTCTCCATCACTGAGTGTATCATTAACCTTAGTTTTTGGAGCCAAAAATCTAGTGTGGTCAATGGCATCCCCATAGCCTCTGTGTCCTTCCTCAATAAACTCCAGCCCCTGGGCACTCGGAAGAGCAAAGCAATATTCTGATAGGCTGTTGGTAGAAGGTAGAGTCTCACTGTTTTCTTCTGCTGCAGGGATGTTGACATAATCATTTGATTCCTCTGAAGAAATGCTGAAATTATGTCTACAAGCTCTGACACCGACCCGGTGTGCTGAAGAGGCGAGGTGCCCACACACCTGGGGCACTGTGGCATTGTCATAGATGCCCACTGTGTACTCTGCAGCATGAACACAAGCTCTGTGCATTTGGAGGGCACCATCTGCTTGGGAGGCCTGTGAGAAGAAGAGAAAGTGAGTACAGAAATAGACCCAGTCTCTCTTCCTCCCTGCACGGCACAGCATTATAGTCCTTCCTTTATTCCTGCATCTGAGTGCAAAACTCTAAATGGGGGTCTCAGACTGCAAGGCTGTGAGTTCTGCGTATATTTGAGCGTGTGAGTGAAGTGGGTTGAGCATAAGAAAAGCAATGCTCTCTGTGGCTCAGAGGTAGAGCATTGCCTGGCATGCACGAAGCCGTGGGGTCAGTCTCTAATACCATAAAAATATTAAGAAAAGCAGTGGCAGAAATTACAAGATAAATCACAACAGATTTTTGGCTACTGTGGCACGTTCAATGGGGAGGGAACTGGCATACACTGGGAGGCACTGCAGCATAGGCTGAAGTGGAGACTAGACTCAGGCTGAGAGTGCAGTCCCAGCCTTACCACTTCGTGCTCAGTGAGTCTGAGCACCTAACCTAGTCTCTCTTGGTGCCTTCATTTCCCAGTTTATAAAACAAGGATTGTCCTAATGTCTACTTGAGAGACGGGCATGGTGGTGCACACCTTTAATCCCAGCACTCGGGAGGCAGAGGCAGGCAGATCTCTGTGAGGCCAGCCTGGTCTCCATAGGGAATCCAGGCCAGCTGGGGCTACAGGGAAACCCTGTCTTAAAATAAATAAAATAAAATAAGATAAAATGATAAGGTTGTCATGAGAAGTAAATTAATTACTATGTATAATGCATTTAAAGTATTATTGGCATATAGAAACACTAAAAAAAAAAAGCAGGGTTTGGTGGTACATGTCTGTTATTCCATTACTTGGGAGATGGAAGCAGAACGATCATAGGTCAGTCTGGGCTACAGAGTGAGTAGCCCAGCTTGGGCTATATAGTGAGAAAATGCCTCAAAAATATAAAACAGAAACTGGGTGTGGTGGCGCATGCCTTTAATCCAAGCACTAGTAGAGACAGGAGGATCTCTGAGATCAAGGCCACCCTAGTCTATACAGCGAGTTCCAAGCCAGCTGGGACTATGGGAGATCCTGTCTGAAAAAAAAAAAAAACAAACAAAACAAACAAAAAAAACCAGCCTGGCATAGTGGTGCATGATTTTAATCCCAGAGCTCAGGAG